ACTGGCACTATGACCTGAAATCTCATCAGAGCCTGCTCTCCTCTGATCCAAATTGCCAGCAGGTCTCAAAAGTGGTTTTTTTTCTAGCATCTTCCTGTTTCAGAATATGTCCTAATGCTGCTGGCAGCAGAACAAGTGAGACTTGGATCTTCCCTGAGTGCTAATCACAACTTACAGTTGCCTCATTGCAACTTCTCTCACTTCTCTTACATCCCATTTTAATTCCGCCGTGTAAAACCTTAGCGTGCCTGTTTCCTTCTGTGGAGACACACACGCACGCTTATGCGAAGCCTTATGTCAGAAGAGACTGCAAAGTCAGTGCCCAGTTAGGATACGTGGGAGTTCGCGTTGCTTCGGCAGCGTAGTTTGCCCCCTTTGGGGGGTGTGTGTATATATTATGATTCAATTTAATTATGTGATTCCATGTTATTTTTCTGTAAGCCTCCTTCCATCCATCACCAGTGTGTGCTGTGCCCCACAGATGAAGCAGTGTGAGGTATTGAAAGAAGCTGTTGTAGAAACTGGAAAGTGCTTAGGGAACAGAGAGACCATTGGAAGAAGAATGTTCTACCAGTTAAAGTTGAATGCTACACTGGAGAATTAAATTCCATCCTTTTCTTTGCCAAATAATTCCTGTGTGATTCTAAAAAAGCCATGTGCAGCTGCAAACTGAAGTCAGTGGGTTAGCTTTTACTGGTAATGTGATCTGTAAAATTAAGTGCTTTGTAAAAAGTCTAATCTCAGACATCTCAGCTTGGACACCAGAAGAACCTTTCCTTAACCTTAGTCTTTTTGTATCTAAAGGTTTCATTTAGAAAATGCAGAGAATGGTCCCTTATGTCATCCAAAAATGTGAAAATAAAGGGATTTTAAAAAATCTTTTACTGTAGTGGTGATGTCATAAAAAGGCTGAAGAAATTTGAGTAATTTGCTACTCTGAGCAGAGCTCAAACAGCATGAAGCGATAGGATGCAGATCTGCCATCCAGTAATGAGGATGTAACAATAGTTGAAGTCACATGCTTAATGAGTACCGCTCACCCTGTGAAAAAATAGCATGTGTTCACACCATTACAGCCTGTGTAATGCTGCACGTACAGAAGGAAAATAGCAAGTGTATGAAAATCCTCAATTCTGCTCTTCCAAAAGAAGTGCTTGGTTTAAAGTGTAAGAATGATCGGTGATGAAGGGGGAGAGGAAAATGGAGGGTTATACATGAGTAACCAACTTAGTTTTTAACAAAGCCTTCTGGAAAACAAAAAAAAAGGAGTAAAGGAGTCAGAATTTCACCCTGTGCTATCACAGGGCTCAGCAGCAGTTGCTATGATTAGGTCCACAGCATGGTCCTTTGCCACGTGCGCTGATGAAGTGTTTGATAACAGGCGTAGTAGGCTCTCCGCTTCTGCAGTAAGTGACCCTACAGAGGGTACTTCTTAGATTCCGGTCAGGCTGGACTCCAACCTGTTGCAAGGGCTTGAGAGGAGAGCAGAGATTGCTCTAGCCTCTGGCTCTACCCTAACCAGGAGCTGTCATTTCAGGTAATACCCTATTTAATCTCTGCAGTCCAGCAAGGTGATAGGCTTGCTCTGGAGGGCTGGCTCCTGCCCAGCCCAGCCTGCACCAGAGCTGGCTCACATGCTCACCAAAAATAGCTTTCACTGATCTTAAAGAGCTCTTCAGTCCCTGTAGTGTATTCAGAAGAGGATTCCCAGATTTACATGGATTTCAGAGGAGAAAATTTTATTTGTGCGTAATATAACACACAGTTCTTCCTAATGTCAATGAGAAATAACTGAAATACTTCATGTGAAGTTTTCAGACAAAATACAGCTTGAGACAAAGATTTCACTTTGAGTGCTTCGGCCTAGATAGCCAAGATCTAGCAAAGCTGAAAAGCAGAAGGCAGAAGGGTATACTGAGTGTGCTCACAAGTGATGGGTGCCATCTGCACTGAGTTACTGCTGTCAGAAGGCTGAATTTTGCTGCTGAAGTTGTAGGCAGCCACCCTTGTTTTCTAAGCTTCTGGGTCAGAAGGAAGACGCCCCGCTTCTGCTGCAGCCCGCTGTGGCTGATCTTCTAGGCACTTTTCCTCACGTAGAAGGGCTGGTGTGTTGCGCTTGGGTGCCTGACAAGCCTCACATTTCTGTAGTCATTTACTGTAGCACTAGTTTTCTAAATGATGCTCAGTTGTCCCTGTATGGCTTCCCTCCTCCTAGCTGTAATCACTCTCAGCTTCTCAACAGGCCTCTCCTAAATGGTCAAGTGGGTTGTGTGAAGGGCTGGATGGAGAGATTTAAACATAACTGCACTCTTGTGAGGGTGTTAAGAAGTATCTAACTGCTAAGAAATCCTGATACTCTGCAGTTACCATTGAAAACTGGAGATTTGCATTAGATAAAGGGTGGAGATTGTGGTTAAAAATTTGAAATCTGTCACTTGCTGCACGTCCAGCCGTGCTCTGCCACTTCCAGTTCCGCAGCCTGTCTGGACCTCTAGGAGTGTCTGTGTCCCATCTTTTCATATGCCTTGCTGTGGACTCGAGTGTTTTAGCTGGATGTAAAAGCTTCTGATGTAAAAGAATTTCAGTTTTGATGCCTCACATGCTGGGTGCACAAGTTTCATCTGATGCAATGAGAAAGTAAGAGGTGACCTGGCCCAGCCCAGCTGGCTAGGGAAGCAGAGCTAAATGAAAGGAGTGTGAGCCTGGAGGGAGAATGGGTCCGAGACAGTTTGCTGCCTTTTGCTTGCTGATAGCTTTCACCAGAGCTGGCTGAGGAGGGGGAGGCAGAGAGCCGCCTGTGCGGGGGGAAGGAAGTGACAGTGTAGTCATTAGCAGCCTGCAGCCCCCTGTCACAGGGGCTCCTGGAATAGAGGATGATTGTATTGAAGCAGGAGGCTGGATAGAGCCCTCCATTAATTTAATAAATTGCTTGCATTTAGGACCCCAGATTGGTGCTGTTACATTTTTGCTCTGTGATGCCACCTGGGATTAACAAGGAGGAGGGGATGGGGGGAAAGGAAGAAAGCAGCCCAGGTCCGTTAGCAACCGCTGGTGTGACCTCACTCCCTGTCCCAGGGGGGATATGAGATCATGAGAATGCCAGAGCTCTCTGAAGGATTCGATTTGTTCGGTACGGCAGGATGGCCTGCCGAGTGATCTCATCCCCGAGACCCTAGGGAAGGGCGCTAGCTGCTGCTAGCTGCATGGACTGCGGAGGACTTAATCCCCACTCCAAATCTCACCAATTAACGATTGACCTGTGATGACATCACTGATGACAAAGCTAACTGGGACAACACAGCAAAATTCCAGTGGAATTTCCCCTTCTCCATGATCTTATCAAATAAAAGTATTTTGATGTATCAAAACCAAATCTCTCAGCCCAGATAACATCACTGCAGATTAAGCATAGTTCTGGGCTCACAGCTTGCCCTGACCTAGTGCCCTGTCCCCAGTTGTCCCTTTCAGCAGTGCAGAACATAAACAGACCCTCATTAAGATTGCAAGAACCTAGACTAGGTAGCCTTATTTAGCCAGCTTCTTAGCGCTAGTCTCAGCTGCTTCAAAATAGAAATTACACAGTGAGAAAAGTCTATTTCAGCTGTTGCATCGTTGTAGTCAGCAGGAGGGAGTTCATGTTACCTTGCAGGTGTCCTTCAGGGAAGGAAAGCTGTCCAATTGGAATAGCAGGGACAGCTTTGGTGAAGGTTTGCAAGAATGTTGCCCATTCTTTGAGTCTCTTGCAAGAGAGAAGTGTTTCAACCAGCATGCTTCCCCGCTCCTACCCTTGTCTGCCTCAGGGTTCCCAGGAAGGTTTAGTGTCTCCAAGTTTAAAATGCCTTGAGGGTTTTTTCAGACCCAGTCTTTTCATCTGTGAGCTGTACAAGAGCCAGCACACACCTGAGTGAAAGGGGAAAGGTGCTGGCAAGTGGGTAATTAATTTCATTCTTTGAGATGATCTAGAAAGTTGTCAGGAAGACTGATGTCACCTTATATTTAAATCCTTGTACCTTCAGAAGGGGAATAAGGTCAAAGAGACCTACCTCGCATTCCTTTTCTCTTTAGTAATAGTTTCTACAGTTTACATCATATCAATCCCTGTCAGCCTTACCCGCTGCTGCCGGTGTCCCGTAGCGTTGTACAGGTACACAATAAGCTGTGTATCCGCAGCCTCCTCTGAAGGTTTAAGATTCAAAAACACAGGACAATAGCTGGGTAAGTGACAGAGCAAGAGGAACACTAAGGAACAATGGAGTGATGGTTAGCCTTTCTAGGCACTGAGTTCAGTGACTGGAAAGAAAGCTGCATCTCATGAATACCAGTCTTCATGCCATTTAACAAGTCTTATAATCTGTCATGATTTAACCCCAGCTGGCAGCTGAGCACCACACAGCCGCTCGCTCACTCTGTCCGGGTGTGATGGGGGAGAGAATCAGAAGGGTAAAAGTGAGAAAACTTGTGGGTTGAGACAGAGACAGTATAATAGGTGAAATAAAAGACAGACACACAAGCAGAGCGAAACACAGAATTTATTCCCCACTTCCCATCGCAGGCAGCTGTTCAGCCATCTCCAGGAAAGCAGGGGTCCGTCACACGTAACGGTGACTTAGGAAGACAAAAGCCATCACTCCAATTGTCTTCCCCTTCCTCCTTCTTCCCCCAGCTTTGTATGCTGAGCATGACATCACGTGGTCTGGAACATCCCTTTGGTCAGTTGGGGTCAGCTGTCCTGGCTGTGTCCCCTCCCAGC